TCCCGTCACCTGCGGTCGGCCTCCGTGCTTTCCGCACTTTGCCAGGGCAACCACCGGAGCTCCACGGCACCGCGGAGACCCGGGCTGCATCCGGCCCTCCCCAAACAGCATCCGGCAGAGGTACCCACCGGGGCAGCAGCAGGGCGACCCGGCGGCACCGGAGGAAGCCACCGGCTTTCACTGGCTCCACCGCGACTGCAACTAATGAAGTCAGCCGTGAGTCACGGCTCCGGACGGCGGCCTTTGCGAGGTGGTTTGGTGTGACCAGCGTACTCGAAGGACGGGTGACGTCCAATTCGCTCCAGGTGTCAGCCGGGCGAGTTTGCGTGACAAATTCGGTCACGGCATTGTCACCCAGTTCGAGGATCCACCGGCACCCGACTGTGGACATTTCTGAAGAATTTGGAATAAATGACGTGCATAAAATGGGCCGTTTTGAAGGCGCGCTGTTTGTTTGAGGCGAACAATGTCCAGAAAATATAACAATCATGACACGTTCGTGCCGAAAACTGGACATGTTCACAACAAGGCTGGCCGAGCAAAAAAAAAAATTGTCGTAGCATCTGTCAAGTGACAGACACCTTATTGTGCTGAGTGCCTGACTCGTGGCCGTGGAGCTCTGTAAAATGTCAACACACCTACTCGCAGCTTCCGCGTATCCCTTTGAACCTTTCCAGCGCGCTAGACCAGTGGCATTGCCCTTTTTCCAGGAAAATGACCTATGATCGTTACTTCCCAGTACATCTTTGACCTTCCCTCTGACTTATACCGGTTCTTAGGCTGTAGCCCCTCTCAAGACGAGCCTGACCTGAGACCTCCCTGCTAGGACGGATGTGACCTGTAGCATCGTCCAGCTCGGCCCAATCCGACCAATGTCATCGTCCCTCTCGGGCGGGTCAGACTGAGACGGAGCCTCGCTCGGAAGGGTCAGCCTGTGACGGAGCTTCTCTGGGACAGGTCTGACCAATGACATCGTCCCTCTCGGGCTAGTCTGACCTGTGACAGAGTCCCGCTCGGACGGGTGTGACCTATGGTCTACCGGAGAGCCTCTGAGACTCCCCGTGGCGTCTCCACGGCGGGTGAACGGCCCACCGCAGTGGTTGGACCCATTACCAGGTTTGGGGCAGCTGCCGACATAGGTCTGACCCAGCCAGACCAGCTGATAAGGAGTTCCAGAGCAGAGACAAAAACAGCGCACTGTGCCCGTTACCCGCTGAGGTTGGGGCGGTCCATGAAGGCATCAGGGACCACCGCGCCGCCTGTCACCGCCCCAAACATGCGCTAAATCACGGACCAGCGCGGCGGGTCGGCAGACGGACGGTAGCGAGACGAATCTGGGAGATGGGGGAACAGAGACGAAACGGTACTGGACGGGAGGTGGTCCGAAATGTATGGAGAGTGGAGACAGGAACGACATAGTTAGTCGGGAAAATTGTTAACGGTACGGCCTAGAACAACTAAATTTCATGCGTGCATATCACGGAGGGGATGAAACATTTCCAGTCATTTTAAACACGAATAAAAATAGTATGCACTGCAGTGCTCGCGAGGAACATCTTGATATACGTAGTTAGGATTTTAAATGACCTTTTACTCGATAATTAATTGGAAATTCAAGGTCAATTGACATTTAATTGACCTTGTCAATTGAAACAATTGACAAGGTCAATTGTTTCATGTGGCTTGAGAATGAACTGTTGTTCGAAAATTTGCCAAACAATATAATATTTGCTTTTTATTGAATTTCCAATTAATCATCGAGGAAAAGGTCATTTAAAATCCTAACTACAAATAAAAATATCAAAAATCGTGCCTATCTGGGACTGTTCTCTGCTGAATCGTACAAAACGTTGTTGCTATTACGAGGAACTCATTTATGAAAAGCACTCAACGCATTAACCAATTAAATTTGCTGCTTTGTTGGGCAATATTCACTTCAAAGTAGGGCCGAATACAAACTCCGAGGAAGTTAATTTAGTTGTTCCGCATTCGTGCAAATGCTGTCGTGCATCAAGACAGATTAGAACAATAGCTTGTTAAGAACTTTAATTACATGAAAACAGTTTGATGTCATCGGTACATCCTTAAACATATAGGTTCAAGGACAGCCTGAGCCATAACTTTATTTTTTGCTTAATGCACGCATGCGTTCAAATAAGGTGTGATTTAGCGATGTCGCACGCTGAACGAGCACGTGCTCTCAACATCCGGGTGTTGGTCGCTCCAATGAAGGTATATGTACGAGTAGATTGCAACGCTCGCAAGAATACGCTAAGGTGAATGACGGGTTATTTCGTGCTTGGAAGAGTCAACCGAAATCATGTGTTTGCGTTAATCCTGATCCATGAAACTACTTCGTGCTGATAGGTAAGTTTGTAATTAATCGGGATAATTACATCATTGATATATATATTCCAGGTCTAAACCATGGCAAATACGGGCAACAAGGCGAAGCGGGGAGAAATGGGGAGAGGGTGGAACAGACATACAAAAAGACGGAAGGACAGAACTTATTCAAATGCATCGAACAATAATGGAGTAGTTTCATGTTGTTTTCGTTTCTACCGCAAAATTAGAAGAATAATAATTGGTAAGTGGAGATTAATTGGTTTTGCTGTACTCTTTGTGGTTTTAAAGATATTGAATTTCAACTTTCTGAATAATAACCACATTTAAAAAAGCCTTGGGTGGGCGGAGCCTAGTGACGTCACAGATGAAGAGTAGTAATGGCGGTCACGGTCCTTCAAGGTGAAGTTCGGTAGTTTGCCCTAGTTGCTGCGACGTTTTGCGGATTAGCTGAGTGCGCTTAGAGTATTCTGGCCAGTTAAACATCGCTATGGATGAGGTAAGATCATTTTTCTTTGGGGGATGGGAGGGGTAAACCCCTCGGCGAGTGGAATGAATGCTGAAAGTTGGCTCAAACTCTGCGTTTGGTTTCATCTTGATCTGATGTAAGTTTGTGTTGTCGCCGTTACGTGAGCTAAAAAGTAAGAACTTCCTGAGTAACTGATCACTGCATAACTATGTAGGTAGTTTTCACGATATTAGCAGCAAACTCACTTTGCAAAGTAATGCCTACCTACAATGATCAAATGTGACCAATATTGAGATGCCGCCGTAGAGCTAATGCTTTTGCCTTAGGCTTATCCAAATAAAATGCATTTTTACCAACTTTTGCTGCTCAGTTTTCCTGTCATCTCCCCACTTGCAGGATACTGTTGACATGAATATACAAATGATTGATAAGTTGCATGTATTGAAATGCTGGATGTGGGCACGGCAGGCCGACACTGACAGCAATGTATTGATGTGGAGCAAGCCACATACTGGATTCTCAAAAGTGGAATATTTAGTGATAGTTTAGTAGTATTTTTTCTAAATCTTATGATTACTTTCCCGGTAAGACTTAGATCCATCTTGCAATGTGGGTACTCTCTTAGCAGATGTCGCCCGAGCTGCCATATCTACGTTTCATGTGCGCCGCAATGCCTTTTCAGTTAAAAAATAACAAAACATTATCTCACCTGACCTAACCATACCTACAACCTAGTCACCCTACAACTTACCAACCTGCAACCTACAACCTACCATTCCTACCTAACAAACTAGATATGACAGCTCGGGTGACGTCTGCTAAGAGATTGCCGCATTGTGTACTTTGTATCATTTTGTAAGAAACCTTATCAGAGTTGGGAAACCAAACATTTGCTGGACAACATTTCCAGGGCAATTTCACTCCACACTTCACACTAGAAAGAAATGATGTGTCTGCGTGTGCTCAGATAGACAATGATACGTCAACTAAAGGTAAATTATAAATTAAGGCTACAAATAAAAACTGAGGAAAACAATAAGAAAGAAAAAGATAACGTTCTGGTGGCGTTGGTGAAGGTAGACAGGCACGGTGACAGAAGGTGCCCATCTTGCACCAATGTAGTGTTTAAACAGTGGCTGGGACTGGCATGTCTTTGGAAAATAACACAACTATAACCCCAAAATTGCATTTAACAAAGAAAGTAGTGTGCTTGTGGGATGAAGGTAACTGCATGCCGTGCATGCAGGTGTTCTTATCCTAATTTTCCAGTCATCAGCTTTGCTTTTTTGCCTTCATTATCAATGTTTAACATCTGGGTTGAGTATAAATAAATTTACTATTTTAACTGCTTTCCACCCAATATTTTATCAAAATGTAGGTATGTGTTGTATGCTACATATACCTATTTTCCACTTCCCCATATAATTGAAATTTTCATGCTTCGCTGGTGGCACTGTGCCACATAAATTTTGTGCTACATTGACACAATTTTTGTACGCCATTACAGTCCACTACCACCTTAAAAGTGAAATTCCAACTTGAACTCTGCCCTCTGTTCCGCCATCCAACTGGTGGCCTTCAAGCTTGTGATGGAGTTTCCAATGTTGGACATGGCTGAGGCAGCTCTAAACTGATTGGTCATTCACACATGTCCTTGGACAAGCTTCTGCAAATGACCATATGGAAGATGTCCGTCATAAGTGACGCTTATGGGAAATGAGTTGTACTGCTGGCCATCTTTGAATGAATGTTTTTTTTTTTGCATTCTTTTCAGAGACCGCCCCTCGTTCGGAAGGTGGGAGTCAGGTGGGTGTTAGCCTCATGATAAGAAACGCTTCCCATACCAAACGTCAACCATTTGAGCCTCACAATAACAGACAAATATAAGACAGATGGGTCGAAAATGGTGCCTCACATTAACAGACAAACATATCGACAGATGGATCGAACTAGACCATCCACCCGGCACTCAAAGCTCGCTCCGTTCGCTACCCAGCCCATCGATACATAGTTATATGTCCATTATTGTCCACTGACAGTGCCACACTAAATGCCAGCCTTAATGACCAATTAATACTTATATGAACGATGAAAGTCAACAGCAAACTGTTGCAGCTCTTATTTGCATGTCCCAAACCAAAGGACAGACAGACAGACAGCAGTCACGGCCCACCGTTAGCCTCACCTTGTCCCAGTGCAGTCCACATTAGCAGCAGAGCAGCGGTGCCGACCGTGTCCATCTCGCCGGTCCTGTGGTAGCCTCGCTCGCCGGTCCGCCACCACCTGCCCCACGTGGAGCGTTCCGTGCACCGGCGCACCGCCCGCCGGCCGGCTAACGCCACCGTAAACTGACGACCGGGCGGGCGACGCGGCGGGCGCCGGCACCTCCCGCGCCGAGGGGGCCGTCCGAAACCCGCGCGGAGTTTTGCATTGCAACCGTGAGAGGTCGCTGCTGACAAACGTGCAGCTGTGGTGTGGGTGTTGCAGACATACCATCTTATTGCGGAATTTGTTGGCCTGAATGCATTTTCGTGTTTATCACGTATCAACATCCTTTCTGCGAAACACACTCCCCTTCCGGTACGAACTTCGTGCATTTACAGCACAGCTGAAAGGCATATTTTCTCGTTTTTGATGCCTTTTTTATGTCTACATGTGCTAAACTGTTTTAGATAGTGTTCCCCGTAAACACTTTTCCTTCTAACAAGGCGCTAAATAAATCCCTCGCCAAACCTATAGTTTTCAATATACGTCCCTCCCCCTCTCACTATTTTTCCCCGCACTTTGAGCTTTATAGAAAAACGGGTATGTGCGCTTTAATGAAACAAAGCAACTGACTGGTCAACCGATGGCCTCTGAGGGCAGGTTAAATGCATCCCGAGGTACGGGTTCGGTTTTTGATAAATAGCTTCGCCAAAAGTAGTTTCAGAACCGTAAATTTAGCAGCATCGCGTTTCTAACGCTCAGGCGCGGCGAACAACATGCCTTTTGTTTGGGAGAGATAAAGTTGGTGTGCTCATCTCAGGTCAAGATCAGGTAAAAGCCGCTCAGGATGCAACTTTGGTCGATGGAGGTCACTTCGCATATCATTCAGTTCAGCAGGTCTTCCTGAATCATCGGTGGCCGTTCCGACTCCCCTACCCAATTTTATTAAAGTATTCTTGATGAAAACTTTGATGAACTTATGACATCACGCAACGCCAACAACGCTGAAGTTATGCATGGAGCACTGTAAGGATTGTATGAAATAATTAATAACGGTTCTTTGTTCTTGAACTAGTGTTGGATGATATCCGACGCGAAAATAGCAGTTCCCATATTTCCTTATTGACTTTTTAGGTAAAGCTACGTGACCAAGTTGACCTCATGTGACCTTTATAAAAATATGATATATCTAAGCTGTAATTACTCGGAGGGTTACTTTGCAATTTGCCGAATGATCCCTGCGATACTTTCCTGGCACGGAAGGCGTTGCAAAATTGCGATATTTTAGGATCGTAAACAGGATCACTTTTGACGGCAAATGTTAGTGACCTGACCTCAAAATGCAATTGCTGTCACAAAACCTAATTTAGATAACAAAATTACACACCTATGCAAGCTTTCATATCTTTATCCCCAAAGCATTCTAAGCAATCGCGAAAAAAGCGGCGAAAATGTCAACAGGTCTTCGGCTGCAGGTCCTGAGACCGTTGGCGGCTCGTCATACCCGTCCTCCCCGGCCGAGGGTGGTTATGGTCCCGCTACCCATCTACCCCGGAGGTCCATGACACCGGTCGGGCTGTGCACCGATCACGTTATCGCTGCTCTGTGCACCGTCTGTAGAGGAAGACCGCCAGTGAACCGTCTGTGCACCGTCTGTGTAGACTGCCAGTGAACCGTCTATGGACCGTCTGCTCCGTGTGCCGTCCATCTGTCGGTCCGCGAGCCTCGCGTCTCTCGAGCGCTCCAGCTTCAGCGGCGCATGACGCCCGTCTGGTGGACGATCCGACCCCGCCACAGTCGAGTGACGCCTCTGGGAACGGAGTTCGTCAGATATGCCGGTACTCTGGTTCTGTCGCCGTAACGCCGTGTCAGTCGGGACAGCAGTGTGCATAGTATCTTGCAAGCTGCAAATATCCCCAAAGATCGAAAGTCTGTATAAAAGAGGTGCCCTTTTTTTCTTCAAAGCGTTGCGACTTCTTCATTCGTAACGGGAAGCTTTATCATACCGACGTAAAAAAAAACTGATTATGCGCGACAACGACCATGCTCATATTGTTTTCCGTCACAACAACTATACCTATATCTAAATCGGTTTCAACTTTTTTAGCGCGTTTTATCCCATAATGTTCCGGATCGAAGCTTTTATAGCACTATATTATGTTCATCTACCTAATGCATTCGTAATTCAGTCCTTACGACAGTTGGTATTAGCCGTTTTCACGACGGGATATCCGGCGAGTGCACCTAATTTGACCAAATCTGCACCTAATCTGCACCAAATGTGCACCAAATGTGTACCAGATGGCCATCGTGAAAACGGCTAATATGTTGTTGGCTTTCATAAACTGTTTTACCGTGCTTATCCCACGTAATATTCTGCAATATTGACTACCTCAGTCTCACATAGCGCAACAAAGACTAACAAATGTCGCGTCGTTTTCCCAGGCCCTCCTTATAATATCCTCGTCAGTCGGACCCTCTGCGTCGACTCCGGTATGGCCCGCGCGATGAGTCCACAAATAAAATTTATACGGCGAGCGCCCACTGCCCCAGTCACTGACAATGTTGACACAGTCCCACGGAGTCCCTGATCGGCATCTCTCCGCTCCCTGTGTGTGGTAGCCGCAGAGGCGGCGTTTGTTTGCTCTGCAGTCGCCGCCGCGCGGTGGTTTGGTGTTTTAGGGCTCGCGTTACCGCCCGGCGCCCATCTGTGGCCCTGGACGGGGTCGCGTCGGGCGGCGCCGCCCTCATGGCCGGCGGCCATCGTGGTCTGGGGAGCGACGCCGAGTCGTTCACATCGCTATTTAGTTGCACAAGTGGGGTAATAATGAAGCCATGGTGTTTCGCGGGAGCTCCAGCAGTATGTTGTGCGGCGAACCGCGGGGCTAACAGGGTGAAGAGGTGACCATATGCAGTGGCGTAGCCAGAAATCAGCGAAAGGGGGGGCCATGGTGCTCGAGGGGGCGACTTTTTCCCTTGAGAGGGGCGCCATAGTGAGCTAGTGACAGGGGGTCAGTCTAAAATGTAGCGTCATATATTCATGCATGATTTACTAGGTGTTCCTACGGAACCGGCACGAGTATCAGAACCAGGTTTCGCTGATTTTTCATGAAATCCAATTAATGCAATTTGCAGCTCAGTGTTTTTTATCAAAAGCGATAAAAAATCTTTATGCATATTTAGCACGATATAGGAAACGAGCTCAGGCTACGGACATGTTATTCTCATAATACACACCCATTCGAATTCGAAACGGTAAAATATGCGTTGATCGATTGGCACAATCTTTATTCTTTGCAAAAAAAAAAAAACATACAGGTTCACTCACTGAACCAAAATGACCTGTGGACTGCAGCCTCTCAAATATCTTCATTGAGGGCCAGTTCAATTTTGCTACCTCTCTATAAGTACCTATAAGTTACCGATTACCTATAAGTTAACCCGCGCCGTGCTGGTGGCCTGTGCTTTCCGTGTCGTGCTGGGGGGGGGGGGGGGGTTTCACGTCCCCTCTCTAACTCGGCTCCTGGGCCACGTAGCGACACGCGGTAAGGGGAAATCGAAAGAGCGTCAAAAATAATGACGGAAAGACTTCGTTTCAATTTTTAGGTCAGGTCAAAGGTCAGGTCACCAGAGGTCATCAAAGGTAAAATTGAGTCCATTTCAACAATTTTGGAAACTGCCAACGGCTAACTCGGGAACCAATAGAGCTACAGCGCCGCGGAAAAGCGCATTCGATAGCCCTTTTACAGGCTTTTCTGAATATTGCTCTCGGATTTGATCTCAGGTCAATGGTTAAGCCTCCAGCCAGAGGGCAAAAATTCCAAAAATAACAGTTTTTATGAAAAGCGTTTTTCTGCAATAACATTTGGTTCAAGATCAAGACAGTGACGATATTTCTTTTGCCTGCCTCGTGTTCCTCTCGTCGAGACGCGTCGAATGAACTATACGTTGACCTTGAAAGGTTATTTTAAAAATTTGACCGCAGGTCAAGGTCATGACCTGACCGTAAAGGGCCATTCTGCAGATCAGTCGATCCGTATCGTCGAGCTGACCACATCTGACGTGTTTTCACCGCTCTAGCACGTCTCCATTAAAAGATGAAGCCAAAAAACCGTTTATGGTGATAAAATAGGTGACCGCTTATGACCTGAGATGACCTCAAGGGCACATAAAAGGACACATGTGCATTTTTACGATTCAGTGTGCTATGTTTACCTATGAACCGATGTTTAAGGGGGTTTTAAACGACATTCGTCCAAAAGAGGCGTATTTCACTTTTCTCCCACTGACTTGAGGTCCCAAAATTGACCTGACCTTAGGTCACAGACATAAAAAGTCCGAGATGAACATTTTATGCATATTGTTAAGACCAATCTCTAAAAGTTTCAAAAGTGATCGTTCTGTCGGTGTAGCTATAGCGGGTCTTTTAACTTTTTTTAGGTAAGGTCACTTGACGTGCCCTAGTGACCTGACCTTGAACGACCCTCATCTGAAATTTAACAAGCTGTGTAGAAAAGATGTATGAACAGGTGTACCAAAGACAGCGGAGGCGCTGCGCGACGCCGTTTTTGAGATGTTCGCGAGGAAAAAACCTAAGGGGTTGTACCCCCCCCCCCCCTCCAGCACGGCGCGGATCAATGGGAGACAGTTGAAATGCTCTTCTTCTGAACGAAAACAACCTCAACCATCGGGATCCAGGTAAATATGACACATTTAATTGGTAAATGTCACTCGTGATGTGACCACTTTTATGTTACTGAGGTCATCTCAGGTCATGAAAGGTCTCCAGTAGATTTTGGAGAATAACTTTTGATAGAGATATGGTAGAGCAATGAAACACCCTATATAATTATTTTCCTTCTCGAAAGTATGGATCGACTAATATGCAATATGACCTTTACCGGCTAGGTTATGACCTTTACCTTAGGTCAAATTCTCAAATGCCCTTTTAATGTCAAATTCTAGTTCATTTGACTTGTCTGTCTCGAAAAATGGAACACGATGCTGGTTGAACTAATCTCATGCAGGTCTGAGCAAAATGTAAACGTCCTCCGCGAAAACGTATATTTTGAGGCTAAAACGTTTACCTTAGGTCAAATCTGAGATGA